AACAGGAGAAATCAGGAAAGGTCTCATCCAACAGCTGTGCTTTGAAGGAAGCTAAGAATTCCAAGAGAAAGAGGTGAGGAGAGAGTGAGTACATTCCAGACATGGGGGACCTTCTGAGAAAAGACACAGGGCCAGGGATGGAACGTCAAGCTCAAATAACGGTCCATTTGACTGGTATGGAGAGTATGTGGAGGAGAATAACATGAAATAAAACTAGAAAGGTAGATAGGAATCATATTGTAGAGGGTAGAAGAGAGTCACGTTGTACAAGGCTATAGAATTTGGGTTTTATCCTAGTGGCAATTGGGAGTCACTGAATATATCTGAATAAAGGAATGACATTTCCAAAGCTTTATCTTGGGAATATCAGTTTGTTAGCTGTCACAGATTAGAGAGACGAAAGAGGAAATCAAGATTAGGAGGCTATTGCTATAGTTCCTGTGAGAGATGGTGAAAGACTGAATGGATGTATCTGTGTTTTTATCTATCAAGGAATCTTGTATTATCTTAACATATGCTGGAGAGGCTCCTTATTAGAAGACAGCTTTTAAGGCTGTATTTTATTCCACTGAGTCAAATGCTTTTTTTCTATTCTTTTTGGTAATCAACAACTAAATAATAGGGTAGAATCTTATATTCCCTAAACCTTCAGTCAAATGTGTAGATGTCACAATGTCTTTATTAAAGAATTATTTGCAAAAAAAGGGTAACATTGATAGGTGGGTAGAGCTTTCTCATAAAGAATTCATAAAGTTGAGGAAATAGGCTTAAATTTTGGTAATTATTGATGAATGAGTGAAATGACAAAGTATTTATGAAGAGTTTACTATGGGCCTAGCACCACGCTGGACTCTGGGGTTATAAACTGAAGAAGCAAACAGTCCCTGCTCTGAAGAAACTGATATTCCAGTTGGGGAAGAAATTAATATTTCATTACTAGTGAAAAAGACTTGGAAGTCTTAAGGATGAAGAGGAGAGGTAGATGGCAAGGCCCAGAGGTTCTTAAAAGTACATTGATCGGTCAGATAATAATGCCCAGGGGTCTGGAAGGAATAGTGGAAGGGCAGATGATGAGGCCCAATGATTGTTAAGATATAGTAGCAGAGAAGATGGTAAAGCCCAGTGGTCTTCTGACCTACTAGAAGGATTCTAGTTGGTAACTCCTTGCTCATCCAAGGGTTTTGAGTGGGCTTGCAGTAAAGGTAGAAGATATCTGGAGAGGTCCAGCCTATAATCATTGAGAAGGGAGAAATGGACTCAAGATTGAGAGTGGAGCTGAGTTTCCTCTGGGCCATCCTCCTCAAGATGGAGACAGTGGGGTGTGACTATCCATCCCAGAAAGGGAAAAGGGAAGGGGCCATTGGAAGGAAGGGTATGGAAGGGCTTTCCATGGCATATATTGCTGCTGAACTCTCCAGCACTCAGTCTATCATTCTTGCTCTGGCTTCACTTTCCCCCCTTCACCAGTTCAACTATATTCAGTCCTCTGCTTTTGAATCCTACCCCCTCCTGTTTCACATCATGTAAATCCTTTCTTCTAGGTCATCTCCACTATGTGCCTTCTCCACTCCTGCTCTGATATAACCGAATGCAGAAAGGGGAAGATATACAACTGGATCCACTATAGATTCATATTATCTTATCACAACAGTTCCCTTATGGCACCACAGCAAATGTCTTATTATTCTTCCATGATTGACTGTCTATGACACTCCCCAGAGCAGATATTCCAAACTTACTCTTCTTTAAACTTCCTATGTCACATTCCTATTCTTTTCTTTCTCAGCAAACGACCTTCCTTGTCTGAGAAAAGAGAGGTCCCTCATGTTCCCTATTCTGCAACTGAAAACCTCAACCTCTTCATCATCTTCTCCTTTGCTCCAGTCCATGAGGACAAGGTAGTCTTTCTCCTTGCCAAAGTCCATATTTGAATCCTTGATGACTAATTCCAGCCTTCTATCATTCTGTCTCTCTGTTCCTCTCCCTTCTGCCTACAAACAGGTGGAGGGCTCCCCCATACTTGAAAGTCCATCATTTGGCTCTGCCACCCATTTTAATTACTATCCTACAGCTTTTCTTCTATTCTCCAGCTGACTCCTAGAAGACTTGTCCCCAGCATTTGCCTCTGCTTCCTCATCATTCATTTTTTCCTCAAGCCCTTTCAACCTGATTTCCTGCTGGTTTTCTGAAACTGATTTTTCAGAAGTTATCAAAAGCTAAATAATTCCTCATTTTCCTTGGGTTCTTTGTAGTTTTGACACCAGTGACCACTCTTTCTTCAGAGACACTCTCTTTTCCCTTGCCTTCTGGGATATTGTTGTCTCTTGGTTTTCCTCCCGCCTATTGGATGGTTCTTTCTTAATCTCTTTTGCCCGATCATCATCCATCTCCAGCCCTCTATTAGAGAAAAATAACTAGGTCAGGCATCGGTGGCTTTGTCTCATGACCACAACTTTGCCCCAGGGCAAGGAAATTTAGAGGGTGCAGATAGCAACTTATACTAAGAAAGAAAACAACAGCATAATGGTTGTTGTGGCAGTGCACAGCTCATGTCAGGTTAATTGTCTAACAGTTGAGAGGCCACAGCTCTGCCAAAAGAGAGAGAGAGAGAGAGAGAGAGAGAGAGAGAGAGTGAGAGAGAGAGAATATAGGCTAAGCTCTAACTTGCTGCTGGATAGGGAAGGATTGCCCCTAGCCCTGTGGAACCAGTTTCCTCAATACTGTTAACAGTGGATAATGGCCCTGTTCCATTTCACTGGATGGGGGAGGATAGGTGGTTGGGTGATGGGTATGGATCATTGGACTGAAAAGTGTGGAACATAGATGTGAAAGGATGGAGAGATGGATTAGCAGACTGAGACAGGAGGAAGCTACTAGGCTAGGCAAACATGGGGCTCCAGTCAGTCAGTCAACTAGCATTTATTAAACATCTACCATGTGCCAAAACAAATAAAGGCAAAAAAACAGTCCCTGCTCCCAAGGAGCTGATAGTCTAATGGGGGAGGCAAAATTCTAACCACTATGTACGCTGATTCATTCCTCCCGAGTTAAAATCTGGTCTCAGGCACTTAAGAGCTGTATGATCCTGGGCAAATCACTTAACCCTGTTTGCCTCAGTTTCTTCAACTGTAAAACGAGTTGGAGAAGGAAAGGACAAACCATTCCAGTAGCTTTGTCAAGAAAATCCCAAATGGAGTCACAAAGAGTCAGACATGACTGAAATGACTGAACAACAAATATTCACAAACAAGATATGTGCAGCATAAATTGGGAATTGTTTCAGAGGGAAGGAATTAATATTAAGGAAGCCCAGAAAAGCCTTATAGAAGAAAGTGGAATTTTAGCTGAGATTTGAAGGAAGCCAGGGAAGCCAGGAAACAGAGAAGAGGAGGGAGAGCATTCCAGGCACGGTGGACAGTCAGTGAAAATGCCCAGAGTCTGAAGTGTCCTGTATGAAGAACAACAAAGAGGTCAGTGTCACTGGATCAGAGTATATAGAGGTGAGTAATGTGTAAGAAGGCTGGAACAGTAAGAGGGGGCTAGGTTATGAAGGTTTGATTACCCAACAGAGGATTTTATATTTGATCCTAGAGGTGACAGGGAGTCACAGGAGTTTATTGAATGGGGGTTTGAGGGTGGGGTGACATCATCTTATATATATTTAAGGAAGATCAATTTGGAAGCTGAGTGAAAAATGGATTGGAGTGGGAGGAGATGGGAGGCAGGGAGACCAACTATTGCAATAGTCCAAACATTAGGGGATGAAGGCAACCTGGGTGGTAGCAATATACAAGGAGAAAAGGAGACATATAGGAGTGAAGTAAGGAAGGTAGAAATGACAGATCTTGATAACTGATTGGACATGGAAGTGTGGCTGTAAAGAGTTAAGGATTGCAAGCCTGGGTGACTAGGATGATAGAGGTACCTTTGACAGTAACAGGGAAATAAGGAAGAGGAGAGGCTAGGAAGGAAGAAAAGATGATGAGTTCAGTTTTATACATGGTGAGTTTAAGATGTTTACACAACTTCTAGTTTGAGATGTCTAATAGGGAGTTGGAGATGTAAAGCTAGAGGTTGAGAGAAAGATTAGGGATGGACAAGTAGATCTGAGAGTCATCTGCAGAAAGATTTCCAATGTTCCTGAAAAGGAATGAAGGACCCTCCTCTACCCCTTCCTGCTCAACTTGCTCAGCCTGAATCATGAGACCAAGGAATGGTAGGTACTTGGTGCTGGACACTGGTTAGTGATCCCAGATGGTATCAGAAGGCCCTTTACAACCTGGCCAAAAGGGCTCTAGACTGGTAGTCAGAAGACCTAGGTTCTATTCTTTGCTTTGACACTATCTCTGGACCTTTGTTTCCTTCTCTGTAGAATAAGGAGTTTGGACAAGGAGGGTCCTTTCTATCTCTAAGGGTCTTTGAGTCTATGAGATTTTGACACCATTTGACTTAGCTTCAAATTCAGTATAAAGTGGGTTGATCAGAGGGATTCTTTAATCAACTTGAACAACTAGGTGGTGCAGCGGATAGATCACTGGGTTTAAATTCAGAAAGAGGTGAGTTCAATTCTGGCTTCAGACACTGGTTGCATGACCTTGTGCAAGTCACATAACCTCTGCTGCCTCAGTTTCTTCAGCTATTAAGTGGGGATAATAACTACACCGATCTCACAGAGTTGTGAGGATCAAATGAGGTAATATTTATAAAGTGCTCAGTACAGTGCCTGACACATTGTGGTGCTTAATAAATACTTGTTCCCTTCCCCTTTTAATAAGATGAGTCTTTTTGGGATACACCTGATGAGCACTTCCTGATGGAAAGAATGAATTTATTCATTGGCACCTTGGTGAGAAGCCAAGGGATCTGTCATGTTTGGGTTTCAGAAACTGGGCTTGCCTCCAAGGTGATCTGATTGGCTGGGACTGTAGGAAGGATGGACTCTTGTTGGAGGAGTCACTCGTCTGAACTGGTCTATGAGAGAGAGCTGGAAATTGCCTTCAGCCCTTTAAAAAAATTCACCTTTGTCCTTGTGTTTTTCTCCTGGCTTGGAGATGCAGATAGTGGAGAGACCTGGTAGAATGGAAATATACTGAGCATGGATTTTGTCAGTCCAACACATGGAAGCAGCTGGGGCATTCGATCCTCTTTACACCAGTATGTCAAACGAGCATCTTTCTGTGACCTTGGGTGAGTCATTTTCCCTCTGGGTCTTTAGGTTCCCCCTTTGCAAAATGAAGGCATTAGACTATATGATCCTGAAGTTCCCTTCAGACTATGACATTATGTCATGAAAATGAAAGATTGGGAAGGATCCTTTCATACTGTTTTTTATCTCCTTCCCCAAAATCATCTCTGTTTGCTGTAATAATTGGCACTACATTTCATCCTGCCAGGATTCAGGTTACTTGGATACCAAGTATGAAAAAAACAACTGCTCTTAACACCTAGTTAGCAAGAATAATTAGTTAAAATAAGTAAGTACCAGATGGTTGATTTTCTCTCCCTGAGGGTAGCTCCATCCCCTATCCCTAGTAGCACCCTGGTAGTGTCCTTGGACCTCTACCTAAAGGTGTTCTAGAGTTTCTGTATCCCACCATCTAACCCCCTAACTGAGTGCCCCCTTAATGATGTTTTCCCCAAAAGTGACCAGTGGTACTTGTCCCAAGTACAAAAATTCCTAGTTGTGGCTCTGCCTCAGAGACAACTCTGGTTGCGTTTGAGACCTCTGATGGCTTTAGGGGATCTCCTGTTCCTCTGATAATACTTATTCACTTAAGATCATTAAAGGACAAATACAAAAGCACCATGCTCAGAGCTATATGGCTGGTGGGGGTGGGAAGTGGCCAGTTTCCTTTCCCACATGACAACTCAAAGCAATTCTCTTTGAAAATTGAAAGCTGCCAGGGAAGATGAGAAAAAGATGAGACTCGAACTCGTAAGCATATTCAATTCCAGCTCAGCCTTTCCTGAGTTATTAGTCCATCTGGCTCCAAAGCCAATTAGAAGGTTTTTCATCACCACCTAGTACTAACCCCATTTCATTATGGTTGAAACCTGGTTACCCCCAAGTTTCCATGTGGCCTCTTACACTGAGACCAGAGCGGTACTATCTGAGCAAGTTTGAGGGACTGGGCCCTCACTGGCCAGTCTCTCCATCACATTTGTCTTTAAGTATTTGAGGGTCTGCCAAAGAGATTTTTCCTAAAGCACAAGTCTGAGAAGTAAACAACAGATTAGATTTGGTCTCTTTGGTCCTAGAGGGCAGAAGTAATGGAAGTTACCAGAAGCCAGATTTATTTTTGTTAAAAGGTAAAAACTTCCTAGCAATTAGCTCTGCCCCAGAATGTAATGGGATGCCTCAGAAGGGAGTGTGTTCCTCCTCATCACTAGAAGCTTCTAAGTAGAGGTTGTATAATCACTTTTCTGGGATGTTGTAAAGACCTTTTTTGTTCAGATATAGAGATTGAATTAGGCGGCCTTCTCACTCTGAGAGGCTCTGATCCTGTGATGGAACCAAAGAGGGCTGCAGTCAGTGCTCAGAGATGACACTCAGGGCCTATTAGCCTCCAGGTGCATTTACAAGTGCTGTGGAACATTCGACACCACTTCCTGCCATTATTCCTCACAATCCTTGATGGGTGCCCTCAGAGAACTTTAAGGGCTACCTAAAAGCTAAAGAACAATCAATAGGCCCATTCCCACCCACAGGCAAATCATCCACTTAGCTTCTCGAATTGGAGAAAGATGCTGGAAACATGAAAATGGTCAAGTGATTTATCACCCACTGTAAGGAAGCTTCTACTGCATGCTTCCCACCCTTGACTCAGTCACAGAGGCCTACCTGTGATATACGGGCATCCAAGTCACCAGAGTTCGCCTCGTTCAGTGTTCTCATTTTACAGCAGGGCATCTTGAGGAAGAGAAGGGAAGGGATTTACTCAAGGTCATATAAGAAGTGATGGAATAATTCATTTCAATCATTTGTTCAATAACTATTGATTAAGTGCCTACTGTTATGTCTCTGTGGGAGAGATACAAAGCTTAGATGAGATAAAATCCCTGACCTCACGAAATTAAGATACACACTCTATTATAGACAATATTACAAGGACCTGGGTTCACATCTCACTTCTGACACTTATTATCTATGTGACCTTAGTCAAGTCATTTAAACCTCTATGGCTTTTCTCTTCTGAAAAATGAGGATGCTGGGCCAGACACCCTGAGGTGTCTTTTCACTCCAGCTCAATGATCTTGATCAGACAAGATAAGTACAATGGCAAGATGTTATATGCAAATTACTTTTTATTTGTCTATTTATTAATTTTTACTTTTTTTACTCTTTACATCCTTAGATAAGTCACTTAATCTCTGCGGACCTCAGTTTCCTCACTGTAACATGAGCAGGTTGTGCCAGATGAACTCAGTAGTTCCTTTTAGCTCTATAAGGCGCTATGGGAGATCATTACTGACCAGGAATTTCAGGAACTAGAACCAAGTCTCCTAATCCCATACTCCTTCCATCATACTCCATTGCTCACCTGAATACTGGTTAACTGTTCACTTCCACAATAACAGCATCTGTAGCCCCTGTAACCGTAGCCTGACAAGATGCTAGCTCTCATTCACTTGTGCCAACATTAGAACTAATCGTGGAAATCAATGGCCATCATTACTGTGCTTTGAACCTTTTAACCACATACACACATGTGGAATAGACTCAGAATAACTCACAACCACAAACTCAGAGTCAGGGCCATGCCTAGAATCTTAGTCCTACCAAACTTTTCCTGCTAACTGAGAAAGGAATCTTCATACAGCCCCAGAGACTATAAAAATGCCATCAACAGTGCCTTCATCTAAATCAAAGAGACCCTCTCCAGTGTGATATAATACAAAGAGCACTGGACATCAGAAGATGTGGGTTTGAATTGAGCCTCTGCCACTGATTTGCTGTGTGGACTTATTTATATAAGTCACATCCCTCTCTGGGCCCCAGTCACCTAATCTGTAAAATTAGGATATACTCCTTGCACTAACAAACTCATAGAGTTCTTATAAGGAAATCCGTCAACCTATCAAAAGCGCTATATAAATGTGAGATGATGATAATGTTCTACTCTAATGTTTTGTCAAAGGTAAGTAGACAGATGGGTAGATGACAGACAGACAGAGAGACATACAGACAGGTAGACAGACAGACATATAGGTAGATAGATAGGTAGATAGATAGATAGATAGATAGATAGATAGATAGATAGATAGATAGATAGATAGATAGATAGATAAAGTATTTATAAAGTGTTTACTATGTGCCAGGCACTGGCTATATGCTGGGAATATGAATAGAAAAAAAGAACTCTGTCCCCTATAATGATATTACATTCTAGTGGGGAAAAACAACACATAAAAGGTTGCTGAAAAGCAATGAGGGTAATAGAGTACCCTCACGGTGGCAATATGAAGAGATGGTCTGGGGCATCATGGCCTGTTCTGTATTTGAAGAGAGCATGGTGGCTAGCATGGGTGTTTCCTGAAATGTAAGTGCAGAGAACTCATTGATTGGAGGTAGAGGACATGGGAATTGAAGCATTACCAACCTTCAAAGGATAGAAGTAACCCTTGAAGACTTTCACAGTGAAGCATAAATGTCAGGCTCTCCCAAATAGTATAGTTATATTAACAGACAGTTCCTGCTGTCTCAGGACCAATGCAGGTAAGTAGATAGAGACATGTCCAGCAGGCTGGCCACTAGGAAATAAATTCTTTGGTAATGGACATGACACAATTCAAAATTCAAAATAGTCATTGGTCCCATTTAGCTTGTTTTTGCTTCTGCTGTGACTATGGTTGAGCTGTAGAAAAAAAGTTGGAGGGTACTTTTAAAAAATCCATTTTTAACCTATCAGTAAATATTAATTTAACTGTTGATACTCTAAATATGAGATCCTCATCCAATGATCAGTGAGTCAACATATGACTGGAGGAACTGGATCATATCGATATTGACACTCTTGCTATGACAGAGGACAGAAAGAAATTGCAGCTAAATGGAAGAACAGGTTCTCCCTGAGGAAGTGAATAAAGGAGTTAGTGGAATTGGTTTTATCCTGTTCCCAAAAGACAATAAGAAACATCATTTCATGGAACATTCGGTCACCTCACCTTGCAGTGTCCATGATGAGAATATGGAAAAAAGACCACCACAAAGAGAGTTGTAGTTCATGTACCAAATCCATTGTAGAAGACAAGCTAGAAAAATTCTATGAACTTAACAAGAGCCTCCAAAGTTAACATCTACCTTAATGCTCAGTGACTTCAATAAGAAGTCATGGAAAAGGGGAGGATGACCAACAAAAAAAGAAAAAAAAAGGAAAATATGGTTCAGATTAAGAAAAAAAGTAGAATTCAGAATTACCATGGCTATTATCAGTGTTTTTTTTTTCTTTCAAAAAGAAGGTTTAAAGATATCAGACATGGAAAATACTAAACAATAACATGAACGTGCACACACACACACACACACACACACAAATGAAAATGATCATGACAGGAAACAACTGACTACTAGTGTGGGAGTTATTTCTATCTCAGTTGTCTTTGTGTATCACACCATTAATTTGTTAGAGATAAAGTCAAAATTGACTTCAAAGTAGAAGAAAGATAACCTATGAAAACAAACCCATTGCATGCCACAAGGTTAAGGCACTGGTAGAAGTGGGATGTCCTGAGTTAATTCCCTACACTCCCACAACACCTGAGGGGTGTATTGAGTAACTTGAGGTAGGAGTGTTGTTCAGTCATGTGCAACTAGTTGTGACCCTATTTGGAGTATTCTTGGCAAAGATACTGGAATGGTTTGCCATTTCCTTCTCCATCTCATTTTACAGATGAGGGCAAACAGGATTAAATAACTTGTCCAGGGTCCCACTAGTAAATGTCTGAGGCCAGATTTGAACTCAGGAAGATAAGTCTTTCTGACTCCAGGCCCAGCACTCTATCCACTACACCACCTATCTGCCTGGGTAGTTTGAGTTAATTTTGCTCCCAGGTGAATTGACCTGGGAACAGCTATGGGCGTTGGGCAAGAAGACTATAAAACCAATTTTTAGAACTTTGGTGGAAATTTCCTGAGATCCCAGGGAGCTTTCTTGCTGATTACTTTGAACCTTCCTGCCAGCAGCTTGGGTCTGTTTTTATCTTCCTGAACTGCTTTTAACTACCTTGGGAACTGCTCTACCTGAGGGTATTAGGATATGTTTTTAGTAAAAACATCATTGGTTTGAACCTCAGGCTCTGAGTAATCCATTGCACAATGTAAAGAACCAGGACTCCAGCAGTTCTTACCTGACTCATATATTCAAGCTAGTGCGTCTAAAAAATGGGAAATGGACAAAAGTAAAGACATAGATTCTTCATGATTTCTTACAGTTGCCACAGGCAGACTGAAAGAACCCAGAAACCACCCTAACCAGTAAAAACAGTCTTGATCTCATTGCCAGGAAGAGAGGTATGGACCAAAGACATGTTGGCATAGAGTACAGACTCCTTTGAAAAACATGACAAAGGAGAACAATAGAAAATTATGAGCTGCATTGCCTCACAAAATAGCTAAAGGAAGTGGAGGAGAAAATGACCTTGACAAAAGTTTGATGCATTACTGAAACAAAAAATAAAATAGGATTCCCTGTTTTTTTTCTGTAAAGTTTGAAGAACCAGTGCTCTAGAGGAAAGAGTTTGTGCTTTTTTTTTTTTAAAAGATCTCCACTTAGGATTTTCATAGGTATAAACTATTTGTATCTATATATTTAAGACTAGTTTTATCTGTTTGATAGGTGTTGAGCTAAAGCTCATTTGAAAAACATTATGGCATATGATTATGAAAGATTATAAGCTGTATCACCTTACCAAAAAAAAATGGGCAAGAAGTTGAGAGGAAAATAAACTTGTAGGGATTCTAGTGTGAAATCCAGCTGAGTTAGATCATCCCAAAAGACTATTTATAAAACTGCAAAAGGGACGATAGAATCAAAATGGAAGTTACTTGCCATTGTGTGTATAACAATCTAGTCTCATCATCTTCTATAACAGTGGAATCATCACCTTGAGATTCTAAACATCTCAATACCAGATTACTGCATGAGGAAGCCGAAATGGAAGTTGAAATCTGAAAGAGCAACTGCACCTGACCAATTACACACAAAAGAATCACGGGGCAGAAGTGACAGTTTTGGAAGCAATGAGGTACTGTTTTTCAAAATGTCTCAAGAAGGAAATGATAAAAGAACAGGAAAACAATGATATGTTGCTATCATTATTTTTTCAAAAAAGATTATTGAGAATTCATCAGGAACTATTGAGACATATGTCTACTTTCTCATCCTTACAAGAATGTGTTTTAGGTATCCTTGATGAAAATCTGAGATGGGAATGAGCAGCCTTTTGTAAACTGCTTTCTGCAGGAATCAATCAATCTGATACAACTGACTAAAAAGAATAGAAAATATAAGGTCTTTCTGTGCTTATTTTTTTTTAACTATAAAAAAGCATATGACTTGGTAGTAAAAGCCAGACACATACTCTTCTCCAAAAGGTTGTCTTCCCTACACATGCTAAGATTACCAGATATTTCTTGAGTGACATTCACAGATAAATTTGTTTGCTGTCTGATTGTCAACCTCAAGAGAGACAGATATAAAACAAAGATACTTGTATTCAAAAGCATTCAGCAGATTCATCAGTATTACAGATGATGTTCTATGCAGAATAAATGTTGAAAAGAGCTTCCTTATAAATGATGAGTCCTTCCCAATTCTTCAGTTTACAGAACACATTCTGCTAATTTCCAGAACACTATAGGGCATCCTCAGTGATATCCATAGGCTAACTCTATTAACTCAAGCAACACATATACTAAAAATCAAGTGAATGAAGAATGCATATAGCCCAGATTATAATCCACAATTAGATGGTCAACCATGTGAGTTTATATGTACCTATATCTTACACAGGCACTGCAGAGAGACAATGAACTGAGCCTAGAATTGAATAAGAAAAAAAAAAGGGTCAGGTTGGCTTGCACTTGAGAAACTGCAGAGCACTTTCACCAATTCTAAACTGGTCTTTGATATGCACAAATATTCTCTCAGTGTCATAGTAATCTCCAAAGAATCAGAATTGTGAGTGACACAAATGCCTTGAGAAGAAGGTACCATATGTGTGAGGGCTTGAAGGAAGTATAAGGATAGAAGTTGGTTGATTAAATCAAACAAATCATGCCACCTCACCTAAAGTAATTAACAAGATTCTATACTCCAATACTCTAGAACACCCTGAGAGGAAATGTAACAGCTCTGCCAGTGAGAGTGAGGGGTAGGAATCACAGAAGATAGGTATTCTGAATCGTGGATGTAATTTTACAGGTGGGGAAACTGAGGCACAGATTTTTTTTAAGTGACTTGACCAAGATCACACAGGTCAGTGTTGTAGAGTTGAGATCAGAGGTTCTGTGACATATATTTTTTTAATTTTTTATATTTGTAGCCAGATCACTCTGGTTTGAATTCTGGCTCTACATTGCACTTCTATTATTACATATGTAACCTTGATAAGTCACTTATGTTTTCTGGGCCTTAGATCTTTTGAATCCAAATCCAGTGAGAAATAGGGTGCTACAGTGAAAAGAGCATGAAATGTAGATTTTGGTTATATAGATTTAAATCCCAGCTCTGATGATCATTAAATGTGTGATCCTGGATAAGTATTACATCATATATTTTACCTCCCAAATCCTCAGTTTCCTCAAGTGCAAAATGAAGATAATAATACCTAGACTATCTACCTCTTTGGGTTGTAGTAGGGAAAATGTTTTGTAAAGTCAGCAAGTCAGCAAGCATTTTTTAAGCACTTACGTTTTGCCAGGCCCTGTGCTAAGCTCCGAGAATAAAATGTGATCAGAAAGACTGTTCTGTCTCCCAGAGCTTATATTTTAATGGAGGGAGACAACATAGAAAAGGAAGCTGAAAAGCTTGAGGTGAGGGGTGGGGAGCAGAAAGGAGGTGAACACGTGAAGATCATTGGTGGCAAGAGCTTTATAGGCAAAGTCCGTGCGAGTGTAAGGGGTGGAACGTGGAGAGGAATTAAGACTGCTGGCCTGAGCATCTCCCTTAAAATGGAGGTTCTGGGAGGAACCAGTCAATCAGAGCCAAAGGCCTAAGGGGCAGAAGGTACTTCCAAGGTGTGAAGTCCAGGCATGAAGTTACCTTCCAGGGTAAAGAGATTTCTGGGCATTGTAGAGAAAGTCAATAAGAGAATCAAGAGCATAGCAATGAAGACATGGCTGGCCTGGGTTCTTCCTTAAAATAGAGGTTCTGGGAAGAACCAGTCAATCAGACGGTGAGGCGTTGGGGGTAGCCGTAAAGTGTTCCAGAAATGGGAATGATTATTATAATTTTTACTTTTGTCTCTGTAATTTTTATTTTGTTTCTGCCAATTTTTTTTACCATCACAATAGATTCTTCACTTTTCTTCCAATAAGGGCAAAGTGTAATTAAATACTTTTCTATTTGTTTTCAGAAAACGAAAGAAGACTGTGATATAGTAGGAAGTGGGAAGGGTACTGAACTGGAAGTTAGGAAATCTAGGGTCTACTGGGGTGAGAAACTTGTGGCCTCAAGGTCACATAAGGCCCTCTAGGTCCTCGAGTGTGGCCCTTTGACTGAGTCCAAGTTTTACAGAACAAATTCTTTTATTAAGGGGATTTGTTATGTGAAGTTTGGATTCAAAGGGCTGCACTTGAAGATCTAGAGAGCCACATGTGGACTCCAGGCCACAGGTTCTCCGCCCCTGGTCTAGTCCCTATCCTTTTACTGATTCACTGTGTGGCCTTGTTCAAGTTACTTCCACTCTGGACTCTCAGTTTCATGACCTTGAAAATAAGAGGCTTAGATTACCCAATTTCTAAGGTCCCTTTTAGGTCTGACATTTTGAATTTCCAGATTTAATTAACCTTTTTGACTACTTCTATTAAACCTTTATAAATTCTGAATTGCTGATGTTCATGGCAATCAGCTCTTAAAAAGTTATTGGAGAAAAATTATTATTTCTTCCTCAAAACTGGGAAGGAGTTAGGGAGAAAATGTCTGATGTTACAGGGAATGGGTGGAGGGAATACATGAGTATATAGTAAACTTCATATGTTATGACTGAAAACAAAATATTAATGTCCACAAAAGAGCAGGACAATTAGCAAATTCATTAATTAAACTTTGGTGAATTCGTCCAGTCATAAGGCTGACTGTTTGCTTAATTTAGACTATCTGCCTTAATCATCGGTTTTACCACATGAAAATATTTGAAGAGTCAACTTTCGCCTTATGAAATTAAGACTTCTGAAATCCAAACAGGCTTTTATTACTAAAGGTCTGAAATCAAAGCAAAATCTCTTAATTAAGCAATTAGCTTTAGGGATAGAAAAGCAAACAGGAAAAAAAAGGGAGTCATAAATTTGTTAATAGTCCTTCCCTGTTGTGACTGGCAAAAGGCCTTTGATACACATTATGTATCTATTCATTGTTGACAGAAAAATACAAAATAAATCCATCTGATTTAGAAAAATTAGCAAAAATGTTATCACGGACATTTGAACAAATATACTTTTCAATATGACCACATTTATTACACAAGGAGGACTAGAATGATTTTTCAAAGACCAAAATTTTCTTTTTATGGTTAATAATTTCAAAGCCTATTGCTTCAAAATTTTCTTCATCAGATTTCTGCACTGTCAGACTTTCCAAATGATTTACTGAAGAATCCCCATAATAAATTACTACTGCTATATTCAGACTCTTCAATCCCTTAATAATTCTTTGGGTAATACTTAAATTACTTTAAAAACTCTGTCCTTAGAATTAAATCCGGAGGTCAAAGTGAATATAGTTTTATAAATAAGCAACGGCCAAAAAAATTATTTAAGCATCTCAAAATGCAATGTGAAGGTGACAAAGAGTTTCATACAGCCATTAGCAAGAAGGAATGGATTTAAAATGTAGAAAAGAAATGGAAATGCTAAATGCTCTAATACTGCATCAAGCATATAATTTCGTTTTTTGTGTGTTGTTTTAGAGTGAACCAGTTGGAGTCTACAGAATAATACAGTGCAGATTTCTTTTTGTTGGGGCTATAATACTTTCCCTGGAATGATTATGCCTGCGGTTTGGAGAATGTCACAGCCAAACTGACATCTTCCCTCGGGACCCTCTAGAAAAATTCTCTCTCCCCTAGGGTGTCTGGCAAAGTGGAGCTCCTGCCTGATGAATAGTACTCCCTCACAGGAGCACGCCATCCTTTGTTTTGATGCTATAAAGAGGCAGCAAATTTGGGCTAAAGCCCCCTTTCCCAAGCTGTCAGCTGTAAATCTGTACAAAAATACAGTAGAGCTCTGTTATAGTCAGAGATGCGAGGACCTGCCCGGAAAACCAAAGACTTACAAATACACACAAACACGCACACAATGTCATGGAAAATATGCGCCCCCCCCCCAACCCCCATCCCGAATATTTTTTTTGTTATTATATTTTTCAAAAGAGTAGAGGGAGAGGGGAGGAATGCCCCCATTTATCCCCCCCCACTCCAAACCTTCATATTTCTAAATGCTCCAAATACAATAACTTTAAGAGGGAGCCAAGTTATACACAATATAGTTTATGTCTCTACCCTTAACGAAATGACTTTAGATTTGTAAGAGACTAAAACAATAAGGAGTGTATCTGTATCAATTCCCTTCCCCCTTCCATTTGCATCTATTTTCCACTGCTTCCTCCACAAAACACTTTGCTTCCATAGTTTCAGGACGTCCATAAATTGTTTATCTCTAATTATAACAGAGATTATTTTAAAGATTCAGGTATCACGGATCTAATTATCTACCTCAAATATAATTGTAAAATAACTTTATATTGTCTGGTAAAATGAAGGCATTGTGCTGGCTCTGATGGATAACGTTGCATGGGGAGGAGAGCGCTGGGCTTGGAGTCAGGGAGACTTGGGTTTGAATCCAGCTTTAGACACTTACTAGCATAGCACCTATACCAGACTGTAAGGTTGCAAGGATCAGATGAGGTAATTATGAAACATGTTTTGCAAAACTTAAAGCATGATATAAATATGAACTACTAAGAGGATAATTAGTAGTAATAAATATAGTAATAATAATAAGATAGTAGACAAATACTATTATTCCC